ATTTTTTTTTTTTTTTTTTTTTGGAAAAGGCGGGCGGTGACAGCGACAGCAGCGCGGGGAGCTCCGGCCTGGAGCCCCGACCCTGCTGGCTGGGGGGGGGTGGCACCGCCTCTGGGGACACCAACCCTGCTGTCCCCCAGCCCCACAAACACAGAAATCGCTCCCGTGGGGTGCGGGGATGGAGCAGGAGCAGAGCTGAGAAATCCGGGAGCATCCCAGGAGCTGCCGGCGCGGGAGGAGGGAGCTGCGTGTCCCCTCCCTTGAGACCCCCCCCAACCACAAAGAACCCCCAGATTTGTCACTGGGACGGGCTGGACCCCACCCCCAGCACCTCCCAGGGGAGCCGGGAGCGCTGGGATGGGCACAAGGGTGGCATTGTCCGGGCGGGCACAGCCAGCCATGAGCTCACACTTTCCAGGGCCGGATCCAGCCTTGCCCCTCGCCCTCCGGTCGCGCTCCAGGGCGCTCGGGACACCGGCGGGGACGCGGTGACAGCGAGCAGATGGATGCGATGGCGGAGAACGAGAGCAGAGGGTGGGTGCGGGGCCGGGTGGATGCGGGGAAGGAAAACAAACCCGAGCCGGGGGGTGCCGAGAAACGCCACAAAACTGGCGAGGGGTGCCAGGGCTGCACAACCACCTCGGGCACCGTCCCCCCCCGCCCCTGGGGACACGGGGACAGCTTATCAGGAGCAGGCAGGGAGCCACCGCCCCGCGTTCCCCATGGCAACCTCCAATCTCCCCGCGGATCCGCTGCCAGGTCCCCCGCGTGGCCCAAGATAAGGCGTGTTTGGGATTTTTCCTGGCCAGGAGGGCGATGGGGGAGAGGGGACAGGAGGGGGGGGACTCGGTGTCCCCCTGTCAGGGCGATGCTGAGGGGAGCCAAGGAGCGAGGAAGGAAAAGAGCGTGGGGAGAGGGAGAGATGGAGGAAGGATGGAAGGATGGATGGAAGGAAGGATGGAAGGACGGACAGGACAGTTCGGGTGGGGCTCACAGGGATGGAGGGGTGCCGGTCCCCCCCGTTCCGGGCTGTGCTGCCGCGGGAAGAGGCCGGTTCCCTCCTCCCCACCCCGAGGAAATCCGGATTTGACTTTTCGCAGCCGCCAAAGCCATCAGTGCCCGGCCCCGCGCCAGGGGCCAGGACGTGAGAACCCCCCCAGGACGTGAGAAACCCCCAGAACCCCGGGGGGGGAGCAAGAGGGGACCCCCAGCCTTTCTCCCATCTCTCTCCTCCTCATCCTCTCTCCCACCGTGCCCGAATTGTCCCCGCCAGCTCCCGAATTGTCGCACGGCTGTCCCGGCTCGCGGCCAGCACTGAAAGGGGGGGGACACCCGAGGTCACAAGTTCCCTGAACAGACGGTTCCCGCCAGCCTGGGAACCGTGTCCGGTGCTTCCCAGCCCAGCCCCGGCCTCCTCATCCTCCTCCTCCTCCTCCCACCTCAACCTCCAAACAAACAGCGGATCCCGGAGCATCCTCCCCGCTCACCGGGGAAGCCACACGCGGGGCCCCACCGGGAACCTGATCGCGACAGCGACGAGCCACGGGGAGCACGCGGGTCCCCGACCCGTGGCTCGCCGGTGTCCGGTTCCTCCTTTCGTCCTGTTTCTCCCGTTCCCGTTTCCCGACCCCGTGGCTACTGCCAGCCCGTGGCTGCCGTGCCTCTGCCTCCTGCCCAGGGACCTGCGTGGCCTCAAAAGCCACCAGCTGCCAGCCCCGGGCGTTTTTCCATGGCTGGGCTGGATGGAGCATCCTGTGGTGGGCACGGGGATGCTCCGTGCCTCAGTTTCCCTGGGTGGGAGGTGGATATGGGGGGCTGGGGGTGGGCTGAGGGGGAGTAATAACAATCCGCCCACCCCAGCCCGGAGCGGATGGAGATGAAGGAGGCATTTCCACCTCCTCGGTTCCTCCCATCCGCGGAATTTGGGCCAACGCAGCTTTTCCCCAGCCCTGCCAGGGGGCTCCGAGCATGGTTAGAGTGGGGGGAGATGTGGCCTGAACCCCAAAATTCTCTGGGATGGGGGGGGGGGTTCGTTGCTCGGCCCCCCTGCCCCGATGGCCACCCCGCAGCCCGCTTTGGGCCGCGCCTCACGTGGCTCGTAATCTGGGATTAAAGTGGGATTAGCCTGCTCATCCCGCACGCGGAGGGACCCGCTGGGGATGTGTGAGGAGGCCGCGCCCTCCGGGGCTCCCTCTGGGGCTTTGGGGGTGCCCCCGAACCCCAAAAATCCCTCCCCAGGTTCTGCCAGCCCTGGGATCAGCCCCATGGCATGCCCAGTTTTGGGTAGCCCGGGCTTGGGGGGGGTCTGGGCACCCCAATACCGCGCATGGGGCCACCGTGCACCCCACAGGACACCCGGGAAGTGGCCGGGGGGTCCCGAGGTGGCAGGTGGTGGCCCAGGTTTGTCTGGAATTAGCCCAGCCTGGCCACCCACCCTGCACGCCCACAGCCAGGAGCTGAACCCCTCCCCGGAGACATTTCCATCCATGGCCAAGAGATGAGGGGGGACGCGCTTTGCACCCCAAATTCTCCTCCTTAATCACCCCCCGATGCTCCCTGGCTGTGGGGAGATGGGAATTTGGCCCCTCTGGGATTTGCCGGGGGGGTCTGGGGAGCTCCAAAATTCCGTGTCCGCGGGAAAAACGCCACCACCACGGCCAGGGAGCATCAAACCCTCCAGGGGAGTGGGATTGGGGGGTGCCCCCTCAGCAACAGCGCAGAGACCCCACAAATTCACTGTTCAGGTGGGGCTGGGAGGGGCTGGGCTGTCCCGGCCTCCTCTCTCGGGACACGCCGTGCCCATGGCAATGTCCCCAGGGAAAGGGGACAGGGGTGTCCCGGGGGGGAGGGGGGTGCTGGGAGCGCTGTGGTGCCGCGGGGGGGGGGCTCGGGGAGGGGTCAGCGCTGTCCCCGCGTTCCCCTCTGGGGTCCCCACCCTTGTCATCCCAGCAATGGGTGTGGGGACAAAGTGGGGGACAAAACACGGGGCACCCCCGAGCCCTCCCCGGGAGCGGCGGCACCGAGAAGCGACGGGAAAAACCAAGAGCGGCCGCCACCATCCGTCCCTCCCTCACCCCCGCGGCGGCCTGTCCGCCACCCGTGTCCCCCCAGCCGTGTCCTGTCCGCCACCCGTGTCCCCTGGCCGTGTCCCCGTGTCCCCCGAGCCGCTCACTCACCTAAGGCCGCGCACTCCGCATCCCTCCTCCCGCGGGGGGCTGCGGGGGGATGCCGTGGGCTCGCACCGACTCACGCGTGGGCTACCGGGGCTGCGGCGCATCCGAGAGCGTGACAGCGGAGCGCGGGCGGGCGGGCGAGCGGGGGAACGAGGGAACGAGCCTATCTGCCCCCGCCAGCCCCGCCGCCCGATAACCGCGGCTGGGCGGGCGGGCGTGCGGGGGAGGCTGCGTGGAGCGGCGCTGGGAGGGTGGAGGAGTGCGTGGCTACCCGGGGGGGGGTGGGTGGTGGCCGCGTGGGTGCCGCTCGCCTCTCCCCCAGCTCGCTGCTGGCTCAGTCGCTTTCCCAACAAGAGGAGAATTAGCCGGCATCATGACGAAGCAGTATTGGCTGCCGCTCCTCCCGCTTCCCCGGCACAAAGAGGGAGGAAAACAGCAACGAGCCGGCTTGCCCCGCTGCCAGGACCCCCCAGCAGCCCTCCAGCCCCCGCTGGGCATCGCCCCCGCTCCCCCCAGCAGCCCCTCGGAGGGATTTTGGCACCCCCAACCCCTCTCAAGGCTGAGCACCTCGCGGGGCTGCGGCAGCGTGGGGTGAGGAGGAGGAGGGGTGGGGATGGCACCTCCCGCCCATGCAGACCCCCAGGATGGGTTTTGGGGGGTGCTGCACCCACCCCTCGCTGCCCTGCGAGGGGAAATCCAGCGGGAATTTCCATCCGCGGATGGAAAGCCCAGGGAGGTGCTGGGACTTGGCCAAAAATCAAGCGCTGGGGGCTCTGGAGGGGAAGAGCTGATTCCCCCCTACACCCCACTCCCCCCACGGCCTGGGGGTCGCGGTCCAGAGGAAGGGCTGGGCAGGGCGGGGCGGCTGCGGCCACTTCCATCCCTCCGGAGCCGCTCGGATCCCGAGATGCCGGCACGGGAGCGGAGCCGCGGCCGGAGCGCGCCGGGGGCGGCGGGGCTGCGTTGGTGCCGCAGCGCCGGGAGCCGGAGTCTATTCCCGGCTCTGTGTGGGAGCGCTGCCTGGTGACAGCAGCTCCGCTCCCGGGGCTCCTCCGCGCTGCTTCTGCTCCCTCCTGCCTCAGTTTCCCCCCACCCGGCTCGGGAAAGGGCTGCTGGACCCCTCTGGGTGCACATCTGGGGCGGTGCGCGCTCGGGAATGCACATCTGGAGGGGGGGGAGCGCA